TTATAATTACTCTTAAGGCGGGTGTGAGGTAAATTTAAGTGTTGTGTGTGACTAATGTATCTAACTCCATCATCCCCCTTGACCTATTAAACCGACCAATCAAAAAAAACTTCATAGTAAGAAAAATCCTAAAAAGCGAAAAAAATTACCAAAAATATAAAAAAAATAATACCTAAATAAAAAAAAAAACATTTTTTTTATTTACTCAGTATTTTTAAAAATTCGTCCTAAAGTCAATATTAATATTTAAAATTTTAAAAGTAAATTAAAAAAATAAGCATTCATTATTATAAATTTTTGCTTTATCATAAAAGTAGCTAAAAACGAAGAAAGGACTAAATTTGGATTCTTCCGTGAGAATTTGGTTTCTGAATTGCTGCCTAGTTAGGTAGCCAAATTCGGACCGAATGAGGCTTAGATAGTCACCAGCAAGTGTGGTTTCCAAACCACCGCCTAAGTCGGAAGCCAAGTTAGGCCCAAACTCGCGACTGCGTTACTTCCGGGACGTGGGCCAACTTTGGCTTCCTGATTCGGCGCGAACTTGGAACTTGACATGCCAAATTCGGAACGAACCACCGCCGAACTTAAATTTCTGGTCGGGTAACTTCAAAATTTTACGTTGAATCGTTTGGTAGATATTGAATAATCTTTTTGTGTTTGAAAAACTGTATGAAAATACAGCAGGTCCAAAAAAACAAAATTGATTCGTTTGGAAAATATCACAATTAAGGGGGGAAATACGTGTAGAAGGTTATTTTCATACTGATTTTCATTAATTTTTTTAAGGTATAAAAAATTAATTTTATTTATTGAAACTATCAGGTTACTTTATACATAAATTTATGACTATTTTTTCGTATTAAACAACAATATAAGTTAACAAATAGCGGAGATATCAGCTGATACACATCGTAGGTTGTCATCCGACTTAGCAGTCTATGTGCAGTATGGAAGCCATAATTTTTATTTGAAATCAATGGCACAGAAAAGTTACTTCATTTATATGTGTATCTTCCATATGAACCTCAATTCCAAAAAAAAAAGTAAAAACTTGCATTTTTTAGAGGGCTGTAAAATTAAGTCGTGATTTTTTACCACTTTTTCATACATTGTTTATTAAAAAAAAAAATAGTTTAAATAAAAATATCGCTTTTGATTGAAGTTCATATTCAAGGCAATTGTATAAAGAAAATTATAAGCCATATCGCAAGATAATTGGCTTAAAACTCTTTGAGCTAGACTGCAAATTAAAATTTTACAGGTCTCGATAAGTATAACACCAGAATGAGCTTATATCGTTAACAATATCATTAGTAGACAAAATACAACGTCATTTCTTAATTATTGATATTTTTGAAATATAAACTCATCGTGATGTTACTCTCATTGAAACCTGTCGATTGAGTACGCACACGACTTTTTTCATACATTTTATGTATATGCTATTTTTCATATTTGTAAAATATATAAAAAATTCGTGTGGGTATTCAAATGAAAGATCTTGATAAGTGTAACACCAGGACGAGCTTACATCATTAAAAATATCATCAATGGACAAAATACAACGTCATTTTCTAATTATTGACATTTCTTGAGATATAAGCTTATCCTGATGTTACTCTCATTGAAACCTTCCATTTGAGTACGCTTCTGTCAAAATGTTTATCATTGAAAATTTCATCAGTCAATATTTTTACAAATTTTAATTGATAATATCTAACCGTTCCCACGATGGTAATCGTTGCCAAAGTGGTTACAATAGCAACAAAAAGCGACAACAATGAAAACGTTACATCAATTTATAAATAAAGGATTGCCTGGCACATGAAAATTATGTTACTACCACATGAAAATCATGTTGCTGTCACATGAAAATCATGATGACATGTTATTTATACTTTAGTTATAGGCCCCAAAAACTATTTCTTCGGTAAATATAAATCGGTAGAGGCTACCGATTATTGTTTTCAGTGTATATCATTACGCCTTTAACAAATTACTTCTTTTAAAAAGTTAGGAGAATTACAGAAAATACGGGGTATTTTATTTGTCAAATTGATCACTTTTGAACTCGACCCTTTTTGATTTGGCTGAAAAAATTTTGTCCTTTTCTACACTACCAAAAAATGTTTTTAGGATTTTTTTAAATTTTTTTACCCAACCCAAGAAAGAATGAATTTAAAAATAATCGGCTTTCTTATTCTCAAATAGCCATCACTTTTTTAAAAATTGATCTTCCGGAAACGTATCATACACTGTAAAAAAAGCGGTGTTAAAATGGACTCATTTTAACACCGCTATGTAACACCTATGTATTAACACCGGTGTAGCGGTGCTCTTTTGCGGTGTTAAAAATCCGGTGTTAAACCGGTGTAATATAGGTGTAACCGGTGTAACAGTAGATTAAATTTACACCGTATCGGAGTATAAATATTACATGATCCATAAAACACACTTAATATTCAATATTTATCAAAATGAGATAAGTAACATTTATTTAAGAATTTTCAATTTATAAAATTACGCAGAAATCGATTTAATGAATGTTATACAACAAGTTAAATAATATTTACAATATTAAATGTTTAGGAACAATATAATAATTATTTTTATCGTAACCATGATGTTTTTCACAATATAATGGATGTTTTAAACATGACACATCTACAGCTGTGCAAAAATAAATTATCTCTATGAAAATCATGTAAAAAAAGTTCAAAATTGTCGTAAAA